TGCCCCTCCCCCTGCAAGCGATTGGACGAGGAGCTGAAGAGGAATTTGGAGACGCTGCCGTCGTTCTCGTCCGACGAGGAGGATTCGGTCAGCAAGAATCAGGATTTGCAGAAGAGCATCAGCTCGGCCATTTCGGCGCTGGACGAGGCGCCCGACAGGAGGGAGGCTGAAAACAGAGGTGAGAATTGTTTATGGAGCTTCCAGGAATTGTTAGAAATTATTCAAACCTTCCAGGACCCCAAAAAATCCTCCAGGAAGCTTCTAGAACCCATAGAAAGCTTCCAGGACCTGGTAGGGGTTCATAGGAACCTTCCAGGACCCATTGAGAGCTTCCAGGGACCTTCCAGGACCTGTTAGGAGTTCATAGGGACCTTCCAGGACCCCAAAAAATCTTCCAGGAAGCTTCTAGAACCCATAGAAAGCTTCCAGGACGCACTGAGAGCTTTCGGGACCTGTCAGGAGTTCATAGGGACCTTCCAGGACCTGTCAGGGATTCATAGGAACTTTCTAGAACTCATTGAGATCCTCTAGGGACCTTCCAGGACCTGTCAGGGGTTCATAGGAACCTTCCAGGACCTGTCAGGGATTCATAGGAACCTTCCAGGACCTGTCAGGGATTCATAGGAACCTTCCAGAACTCATTGAGAGCCTCTAGGGACCTTCCAGGACCTGTAGGGAGCTGTCAGGGGTTGATAGGGAGCTGCCAGGACCTGCAGCAGAGCATCAGCTCGGCCATTTCGGCGCTGGACGAGGCGCCCGACAGGAGGGAGGCTGAAAACAGAGGTGAGAAATTTTTATGGACCTTCCAGGACCTGTCACGGGGGTGTATGTACCTTCCAGAACCCAAAAAAATCCTCCAGGGAGCTTCTAGAACCCATAGAAAGCTTCCAGGACCCATTGAGAGCTGCCAGGACCTGGAGGGAACTGCCCAAGGTTCATCTAGAACCATTGAGAGCTTGTAAGGTTTTTTTATGGACCTTCCAGGACCTGTCATGGGGGCGTATGTACCTTCCAGGACCTGTGGGAGGGCATGGGGAGCTACCAAAACCCCAAAAAAACCTTCCAGGGAGCTTCCAGGACCTATTGAGAGTCTTCAGGGATCTTCCAGGGATTCATAGGGACCTTCCAGGACCTGCCAGGGGTTCATAGGAACCTTCCAGGACCCAAAAAGAACCTTCAGGGAGCTTCCAGGACCCATTGAGAGTCTTGAGGAACCTTCCAGGACCTGTGACAGGTTCATAGGAACCTTCCAGGACCCAAAAAGAACCTTCAGGGAGCTTCCAGGACCTATTGAGAGTCTTTAGGAACCTTCCAGGACCTGTTAGAATTCATAGCGAGCTGTCAGAACCAAAAAAAAATCCTCCAGAAAGCTTCCAGGACCTATTGAGAGTCTTTAGGAATCTTCCAGGACCTGTTAGGAGTTCATGGGGACCTTCCAGGACCCATTGAGAGTCTTTAGGGATCTTCTAGGGCTTCATAGGGACCTTTCAGGACCTGTCAGAAGTTCATAGGAGCCTTCCAGGACCCATTGAGAGCTTCCAGGGGTTCATAGGAACCTTCCAGGAGCCAAAAAAATCCTCCAGGGAACTTCCAGGACCTGTGGGAGGGCGTGGGAACCTTCCAGGACCCATTGAGAGCTTCCAGGACCTGTCAGGGGTTCATAGGAACCTTCCAGGACCTGTCAGGGGTTCATAGGAACCTTCCAGGACCCATTGAGAGCTTCCAGGACCTGTCAGGGGTTCATAGGAACCTTCCAGGACCTGTCAGGGGTTCATAGGAACCTTCCAGGACCCATTGAGAGCTTCCAGGACCTGTCAGGGGTTCATAGGAACCTTCCAGGACCCAAAAAGAACCTTCAGGAATACATAGGGACCTTCCAGGACCCGTTGAGGGCTTCCACGGGTTCATAGGAACCTTCCAGGACCTGTCAGGGGTTCATAGGAACCTTCCAGGACCCATTGAGAGCTTCCAGGACCTGTCAGGGGTTCATGAGAACCTTCCAGGACCCAAAAAGAACCTTCAGGAATACATAGGGACCTTCCAGGACCCGTTGAGGGCTTCCACGGGTTCATAGGAACCTTCCAGGACCCAAAAAAATCCTCCAGGGAACTTCCAGGACCTGTGGGAGGGCGTGGGAACCTTCCAGGACCCATTGAGAGCTTCCAGGACCTGTCAGGGGTTCATAGGAACCTTCCAGGACCCAAAAAGAACCTTCAGGAATACATAGGGACCTTCCAGGACCCGTTGAGGGCTTCCACGGGTTCATAGGAACCTTCCAGGACCTCTTAGAATTCATAGAGAGCTGTCAGAACAAAAAAAAAATTCTCCAGAGACCTTCCAGGACCCATTGAGAGTCTTTAGGAACCTTCCAGGACCTGTTAGGAGTTCATGGGGACCTTCCAGGACCCATTGAGAGCTTCCAGGGGTTCATAGGAACCTTCCAGGACCCAAAAAAATCCTCCAGAGAGCTTCCAGGACCTGTGGGAGGGCGTGGGAACCTTCCAGGACCCATTGAGACCTTCCAGGCACCTTCCAGGACCTGTTAGGAGTTCATAGGGACCTTCCAGGACCCAAAAAAAATCATCCAGGGAGCTTCCAGGACCCATAGAAAGCTTCCAGGACCCATTGAGAGCTTCCAGGACCTGTCAGGGGTTCATAGGAACCTTCCAGGACCCAAAAAAAATCATCCAGGGAGCTTCTAGAACCCATAGAAAGCTTCCAGGACCCATTGAAAGTCTTTAGCGATCATTCAGGGACATGTAGGGACCTTCCAGGACCTTCCAGGGGTTCATAGGGACCTTCCAGGACTCAAAAAAATCCTCCAGAGAGCTTCCAGGACCTGTGGGAGGGTGTGGGAACCTTCCAGGACCCATTGAGAGCTTCTAGAGGTTCATAGGAACCTTCCAGGACCCTAAAAGAACCTTCAGGAATACATAGGGACCTTCCAGGACCCGTTGAGGTCTTCCACGGGTTCATAGGAACCTTCCAGGACCTGTCAGGGGTTCATGAGAACCTTCCAGGACCCATTGAGAATCTTTAGGGACCTTCCAGGACCTATTGAGGGATGTGTAGGAATCTTCCAGGACCTGTCAGGGGTTCATAGGAACCTTCCAGGACCCATTGAGAACCTCCAGGAACCTTCCAGGACCTTCCAGAGTCCCCCATTGACCTTCCAGGACCTTCCAGGGCTCCATAGGAACCTTCCAGAACTTTCCCGGGTCCCCCATTGACCTTCCAGAACTTTCTAGAGTCCTCCATTGACCTTCCAGAACCTTCCAGGGCTCCATAGGAATCTTCCAGAACCTTCCAGAGTCCCCCATTGACCTTCCAGGACCTTCCAGGGCCCCTTTAGGAACCTTCCAGGGTCCCCCATTGACCTTCCAGGACCTTCCAGAGTCCCCCATTGACCTTCCAGAACCTTCCAGGGCCCCTTTAGGAACCTTCCAGGACCTTCCAGGGTCCCACATTGACCTTCCAGGGCTCCATAGGAACCTTCCAGGACCTTCCAGGCTCCCCCATTCACCTTCCAGAACTTTCCAGACTCCCCCATTCACCTTCCAGGACCTTTTGCCCTTCCAGGACTTGTTTTTAACCCTTTGTCCGCTGTTATTTTATT